GATTCTGGTAATTAATTAACTTATTTTATTCGAATGTTTCTGAGTGTTGTATTTGAAATCATGATGTTGAAATAATACATTTGTAGATTCATTCGTTTTATTCATTTATTCTTTCAGTTATCCATCACAATAACACCGCATTAGGCTCACAGTAATACTTTCTGTATAATACCTTTTATTAGAACTTAGAACTTCCTTTTCACTCCAATTTTCACATAGTCACGATATTAGCGCCGAAAACCATACGGTTTCTTGAAGTTGTTATCATGTATTATTATCATATTATTGTCCATATATATGACCGGTGTTAAACTCGGTATTCTTATCGTTATCGGTATTGTTAGTATCATCTAATTCCACGCGGTTTAGGACGTATGACCGCACAGTTGCGGATTATTAGATGGCCTGTAGAGGATGCACGGGAAAAGTATTTGTTTTATAAAGAATTGGTGAACGTCGAAAGTGCAAACGCACGTGTTGGTGACGTTTCTTATTCGGATGTTGTGAGTTCTCACCATTTTTCAAAAAAAGATCATTCTTGTCAGTATTTTGATTTTAAACAGCTGATAACATCGGATATGTTATGGCAGTAAGTTTGAAATAATTACGCCCACAGTGATAATGAAAATGATATTAGTAGCGATTGTTATGGCTGTTTTCATTTTCATTCTGATTACTCGTATCACTACTGATGACGATGTACGATTCATGTTTGATCGAGTCAAATTTAGCATCGATACTTTCAGGTCGCAACTCTATTCAATAATCGTTATCGTCAGCTGTACGTATTTCGTAAGAATCATATAACTGAGATGAATGAATGTGTGACATTCCACGTTAATATTTCGTCAGCAAACGCAACAAATGATCAATTGAATTTCATACAAATCGGTAAATTCAACATCCATCAAAACAACAATCAACGAACGTTATGGACACAAGATCCATACACCTTAAAGGTTTCATTCGGAGTTTTTATTTCAAATCAAAATTCTTAACTCAACTTTTCACTTTCTATATGTATAATAATTATTTCTCTTCTTCTCAAAATCCCCATCCAGTATGCATTTCGCAAATACTGCAAACCTATTCGTAATGAACATGACGAAATGCATCTGTTTGCAAGATGATTTCCCTTTGAGAGTTTTCATCCACCCTAGATCAGTTGTTTGGCCTGAAGATTTCGTACGTTCCCCAAAAAATCTTGGAAAGATTTTA